AAATGACGCCGGTAGGAATCGAACCCACAACGTTCTGACTGTAAACTCCTGCTCCGCCATCACATCTTCAGTGTATATTTTCAATGTTGCTAGAGAAACATACAAGTTTTGCTATTAAATAATAAAGTTCTAGTATTATTCAAATCAAGTGATCTCTTGATTTTAAATATTAATTTTTACAATTAATAAATACAATAATAAAGCACTGCCAGAAATAAAAAATTGTAGGTTTCCTTTCAAGACCATGTAAAAATTATTGAAAGAAAGCTTATCTGGTCCATTAAATAGATAAACCCGGGTAATGGACGAATGTCCATGTATTGTAGTAGAATTACTACAATATCGAGTAGTAGCAATTAATTGTGAAATTTATTATTAATGAGATTTCTTTCCTGAACAGATCCCGATGTACACTGCATGGGTCACACGTCTGTATTACAGTTTACATCGCACATACTGTTCTCAAGCACAATATTGGCTTCACCAAGGAACTACTTTCTGTGGATTGTATCTGTGCTGCAAGAACTGCTAAGCTCGTTAAGTTCAGCCATCCAAAACTAGTAACTTAGAATATATTTTTTAAATTTTGTATATGAACATTGGAAGTGATTATTATAAGTTGAGACCATTAAAGTGCCTCAGGCTGTGAATGGAATTAGAAGCTGAAATTGCAGTTTCTTTCACAAAGAAAATCCTCCATTTACTAATAAGTACAAGCCAATAGAGAATTTATCTTTTTTAGATTATGTTTTAAGAATATGCCACTTAGTGAAGCAGATATTAAATGTATATGTTGTAGTATATATATATATATATGTTAAGGTTGTATTAGTTTAAAGATATGATTCTGATTCTCATTTGATAACAATTTTATTTATTAAAAGAACACATTTTTTAAGTGGGGAGTATAACTTCTCAAAGCTATAATCTTAAAATGATATAGTTTTTTTCTCTTTGCCATCCAACATTTGTAGGGACATAGAACTTTTGTTCTTTCAGTACCTACCTGTGCACTAAGGAACCCACTCCTCCCATCAAGCATTTGTAATTTAACCTTAAGAAGACAAAGGAATTATATCTAATACTCATGCCAAAATTATTTCCAGATTAGTGATTTAAGTCTTTCCTACCAGGAGGGCAGAAGCATAAATGCTGTGATGGAAACAAATATATAAATGATTTTTTAAAATAAAGTGAAGATAGATAAAATCAAGAAGAAAAAAAAACTTCCTTCTATATTTCATTTAGCAAGTAAATACAAACTAATAATCCTAAATACACTGCTATCCACTAATATGCTATATTTATATTGCTATAATTTACCAAGTAAAAGGATTAACAGAAAGAGAAATACACTTTATGGAAAATCCACAAGCTCGGAACAGCAAAAGACGATGATTTCTGAAACCAAGTGTCTCCCCATGAATATGACTCAGAAGCTTGAGAAGAAATTATTCTTAATCACAATATAATGGCGACTTACATGTTGAGGAGAGGTTCTTCTAGATAGGTGGATTGAATACATGATAAAATTAGCATTTCCCCAAATTTATGAACCTACAAGGAAACAAGTTTTTTCAGTATCTAGGATTTAAAAACTGTTGGTTTTTAATTTAATGGGAAATCACCTTTTCTTTTGATACATCTTACATCTGAATTGTTTTCATATTCAAGTCTGGGTGATTTAACTTTACTGATTAACCATTCGCTGTCTAGATAGTTCCCCAGGAAAATCCACTAGTCAACATAAACTTTATCTAGGCACTTAGCAGTCATCTATAACTGCAATGATGAAGATTAAATTTTAAATATATCAACCAGAGTTAAGATTAGTTTTTGAGTTCAGGCAAAATGGAAATGGGTCTCGCTAGTTATGTTTGTCAAAGAATGGATACAAAGAAAAGCTGAAATGTACAGTTTCGAAGACTGTTGTCTTTGTGTTGAATGATGGAAATGAAATAGGTACCTTAGAGGAACTTTTATAAATCATTCAGGTATGGTTTAGTACAAATACGGAGAATACACTTTAAAATAAAATAGAAAAAGTGTTAGTGACTTTGAAAACAGAAGTTGTCTTGGATATTTTAGGGTTAGAATTGGTGATCAGGATAAAACCTTGCCAATCACAGCTATTCTTTTAAAATTCAACGTTCCGATGGTTTGGATGGAGTCCCAAAACCATTTGATGCTTATTTGTAAAATAAAAAGTGGATTGACTCCATTAAATTCATCACTCACAGAAAGTGTCAGATGACAGTGATTATGAGAGGATTTCATCAATTCCTTAATGCTTCAACCAGGGTGAATTTAATATCCTCGCCAGAGAACTCATCCTGTCAAAAGAAAGATCTGAATAACTGTCTTCCAGGTTAAATTACATTTACTGGAACAAGGAATGAAATTACCTTTTACCGAATTATTGAAAACCAACTGCAATGATAAAAATAAACAATAGAAGATTTCATAGCCCTGGATCCAGATTTAAAAGTAAATTACGAAAGTGTATGTTATTCTAAGTAAAATGAATCTTGTCTGCCATTCCAGAGCAAATGCTTTAAAAAATGGCAATTTATTTAAAGAATATTAGCCCAGAAACTTGAGGATCGAAACAGGAAATTTATTGCTAAACTTTTGGTAAGTTTTTATTTTTTAACTTGAATATATGGGTTTAGTTTAGACATGTAATAAACAAAATTGCTAAAGCAGGCCACCAAGTGATAACTTTTTTCAACTAAAAAAGCCAGATTGTTTAGAACTTTTTTTGTTTTTCTACCTATTGCTTCTAAACAAAAATTATACTCGTTATGAAATTACAGAATGTTAAATTTTGCATTGAACGACTCCCTAAACTAAATAATTTGGTTAAATTATATGGTAGAAAACCATGGTCAACCAATGCTGATTTTTACCAAATTTATCAAAAACTGAGACAAATTACTATAATTAAAAGCTATACATTATAGCTTGGAAATGAGTTTCCTAAGATAAAAAACCTATAGAATAAAAGTTGTAGAGCATCAAATCTTGCGTCCTCTGAGTATTACAATTTTTATTTTAGGTCAATCATTTATCTCGAATCGGGATTTGTTATTTCCTCATTAAATTTGGAATCTTTTGACAAATCGTTTCTCAAAATCCATCGCTGCTGAGATGTGGAAAAGAGGCTTATATTGCATATAACAGACTCTAAACAAGAATAACTCACTAGAATAGACACACAAACTTTAATTACCAATTTCTAACCATTGGGATATTACTGATTTTGTTCACAGTAAGTGACCTATATTAAAACTGTTGGTATTCCGTAGGTGCAAAATTTCATGCTCTACAACTTTGATTCCATGGGTTTTTGCTATTAGGGAACTAATTTCTAGCAATAGAATCATTTACGGTAGTCTCAGTTTTTGACAAATTTGGTGAAAATCAGCATTGGTTGACCGTGGTTTTCTACCATACCACTTTATCAAATTATTAGGTTTAGGTACTCGTTTTCACTTTGATGCATCGTTTACAAGTTAAAGGTGAAAAATAAAGGAAATTATCGAAAAAATCTGACATTTTTGGCTGTAAAATTTTTTACCTTGGTGGCCCAAGTTAGCAATTTTGATTTTTACATGTCTAAACTCACATATATAAGTTAAAAAAATAAAAACTTTTCTCACATTTTTCGCAATGAATGTCCTGTTTAGATCCTGAAGTTACTGGTCTAACATTCATTAAAGATGCCGCCATTTTCAATACCAGCGGCTCTGAAACGGCTAACTTAATTTTACTTAGAATAATATACACTTTGGTAATTTACATACCAATCTTCGCCTGCAATGAGGCCGGCCGATTTTTAAGCTCTAGCACCAGGGCTATTATGTTTAGTTCTTTAATTTGATTGATGTATTTAAATTTAAAAAAAACTATTTTAATGTTTTGTAAAATCTTGGGAACAAGCGCTGTTAAGCCTAAACTAATGCCACATTTAAATTTAAGGCCTCAAATTCATATGAAATCAGCTCAGAATAGCCTGGCGACAAAACTACTGTTGGCTTGGGTCATTGATAAAGGTCACTGCCATATAGATATAATATAATTAATTTCTGTAGTTTTTCTTTTTTTTGTTCAGAGAATATAGGTTACTAAAATCTAGTAGCTCTAACTCACGTCCTAATTACATACAAGATTTTAGAGATAAGCCATCGACATTGACATGCTGATTAACCACATATTATAAATCAAGGATAGAATTGTGTTCTATCAGTCAATGTAACCATTTTCATACAATTGTAACCTTGATTATCTTTCATATGTCAATTAGCTTTTTAGAATAAGTTTAAACAAATAATGTTTCTGTTTATTATTCATTTAACTAATTTAGTAATTTCCTGCCTCAAGACATAATAAAATTGATGTATACATAATTAAATATTGTATTATGTATATTGACAAATTTAATACAAAAAACAAATGAACTTATTATGGTACTATTATCTGTTGAAGTGATTTTAAACATACCTTTTATTAGATTGATTAACAGCCTGAGGTTTATTTCTCTAAGAATTTATCTCATTTTCATTTTAATAAAAAATGTTAAAAATATGTTTTATTATTACATTTTATGCAGATCCTAATCATGTTGAAAATAAAATATTGGTAACAAGGAGGAAAAAAAAAAAGAAAAGAAAAGCTCCACATAAAAGGAACAAATCGAGGATATTTAGCAGTATTTGAAATGCTAAAACCAACATACTTATGGACAAAGCAAAAATTTCAAAGGTAATAACAACTATTTATAAATAAATTAAGTTGGTTGATTAATGCATCAAATTCGAGATCCACTTTTTTAACAAAACTTTATTTTTATAAAGGAGTGTAAATTAATTGGTCTGAAATTTGAGTCATACAATTTACCTATATGGATTTAAAAAATAATTCTTATAAACTTGTACAATAATATTTAGATATAAAAATTTAGGAAATACATTCTTAACAATGAAATTTCAGGATAAGTACCAATGATCACTTTTTGAAATAAATTAAAAAATATATTTTAATGTTTGAGCTTTTATTTATTTGGATTTTACAAATGACGAAATTCATAAAAAAATTATTTTCAATTGAAAATTTCCTATAAGCAATGTTCCTAGATTCCAATATTCATTAAAAAAATAATTGTTATAAATTCCAGGATGATATAATTTTTTATATAATAACACAGTATATTAATAAAAACTATGGGAAAAAAATATCATAGAATGAATAGATAACGTAATTGAATATGGCAGTCAATCCAACTCTACCAAGAAAGGTATTTTCTCTAAGATCCCGATTGAGAAATAATAACTAAATATTCCTTTATTCTTCAAAACAGTTAAGACTAATAATAAATATTTCATCCTTCATTACAGCATTAAAAATATCAAAATGATCAATTAATAAAAATATCATATGATAATTTATATTGTAGCTAATTTATTAGAGCAGCATCAAGAATGCGGATAAGGAATGCACTCACATTAAAAAAAATCTGTTATCATTCATTAATGTTTTTTGAGATGCCATCCCATGAATAGATTTCTAGCCAATCAATTAACATTATGAGTTTGTGAAATTAATGAAGTGGTACTTCAGTTTTGCTAACAATGAAATTTTATATACTCGGTAAATTTTGTATAAAAATTTAAATCTAATATTAAAAAAAATCATAGAAACAAGGAAACAAAAATAGACAACATAATTTATCCAGAGATTATATAATACTATTATATCTTGATGGAATGTAACTTCCTGTTGAGTTCTTGGAACTTCAGTATTTTTCTAATGAAGAAATCGCCAAACCTGTTGGCCACTTTCGTATCAGCGATGTGGATCATATCACCATCGATGTAGAAATCCAACTGGAAGCAAATTGTTAAAGTTAATTCTATCATAAAGTTTAAAATAAAAGAGTGCTAATTAGTAGTAATAAAAGCCTATAGACTCTTATATGCAATATATCATAAGGCACTTATAGTTTTTTTTCCTACTTGAACAATAAATAAAATGCTAGTGAGTGAAGAAAATATAGGAAAATAAACCAGATTACAAAATAAATCAGTAGGAAAAAAATAATATATATAAATATCAAGAATAAGGAACTCAACGTAAACTAAATTAGATTTGCTCGATAGGTAAGATATTGGACTGTCATCTCCAGGGTTAGTCGAACAATAGCAAAAATTCAATTTCTAGGAGGGAATTCAACTGAAGAATGAAAGGAGCACCCTCAGTCTTCATTGAGGGTGCACTGTTCAACAACTTGTAGTTGCATCTTTATAAGAAATTACACAATGGTATAGGTTATCTTTTGTTGTTACTATTACCTTTTATGTTTCTAAAAACAAGCATAGCATTCATACCTCTGATCCAGATTGAAAAGAACCTTCAAGCCCTGAGGTTCCTTTGGTCCACACAATATTCTTCATTTTGTGCTTAAAACAAAGCAAGTGGGTTCTCAGAGCGGCAATTTCACTTGGGAGGTCTTGTCCCGAAGCATGGCTCATGAAGGTAGCAAGTTTGCTCAGTGGAAGAGTAGTGTAGAGTTTCAAATAACTGTTGAAATAAATAACTTAATTTAATTTAAGACCATACAATACACAATAATGTTCATTTAACTTGAACTTTTAAATATAATAAAATGTAACTTGAAGTTGGCTGAACTTGGTCATTGAAATTTCCACCTTTTAAGTTTTGATAATGCTAAGAAAAATTAAATTCTGTTTAAAATGGTTAAAACTCTAGGGTAATAATAAATAAATCTCTATAGTAAAAAGGGCCCATTTGCTAAATTATAATTCTTATTCAATTTGGCAGCAGAGAGAAAAAAACAACAAAAATTAACAATACACAAAATCTTAAAATTAAAAGAAATTCCTGTATTCTGCCAGTTGCTTGCAAACTTTTTAGTTAATTTTAATTTTTCCCTTTCATTATCCTGATTGACAAGAAGTAAATAAAGCTTCGATAGGTGCACAACTCTAAATAATATCTTAAACAAATTTAAATTAGTAATAAATGAAATTTATATAATGCATTATAATTATTCACAACTGCTCTAGCCTCCCTCCTTCAATAATTAAAGGCTAATGTAACAAAAGATGCATATCATCTTGAATCAGACTCCCTCCCGCAATGGTAAGATATATATGTAGTAAAATTAATTACCTCCTGATTGTTGGAAGCATCTTCTGCTGCTTCACTTCATCCATGAATACCTGAGTTTGATGCCTCATAGGTTCCTTAGTGTAATCATCTGGTAGAGCATCAGTTGGAGGTGGCGATGGTGAAAGGAATTTAGGACAGGCGAATAAGAAACAGTTCTCGAATTCCTAAACAAAGCCATTAACCCTTTGTAAGCTTAAAATAAAATAATAATCTAATCAAGTAGAACAGTATAATTATTACTAAGATAGGGTATAATTAAATACAAATAAAATTATGAAATAATTTAAAGAAGTGAAAGTTTAAATTAATAAAAAAACATTCTGTGTGTTTTGTTGTAGTAATACCTAATAGATATTAAACAAATATGAATCTTAAATCAACAGATCAAAGAATAGTCGAATATAATATTGAAATAAGATAAATAATATAAAGTAATCTAGCCACACTCACAGTTAAGTCACCATACTGCATCTTGTACATCTTCTCATGGTAACCTTTCTCGCGTAGGGCTTGCTGGATTGACTCATCGATGCACTGTGGGTGCAGGACCAAGCACATGGCAAGCAGGTTGTACATCTGATCAGTTTGTTTGTTTATCTATAGTGAAAGAAAACAGATTAGGCAATTGTATCATCATCAATACAGTTATTTAGCCATTTGCAACACTTCTTAAATGTTAAGACACTAAAGAAACTAGAATGGTTGCGGTTTAACATATTGTCAGTTTATTGCAAAAAATCACTAAGTACATTCTTAATGGAGCTATACTTATACGAACATTGTTTAATATTTGAACTTTTGGTACTTTTTGACTAGCAGGCCGGCAAGAAACCTCACTTCTTATCTAACATTACGTCACATAACCTCCCTCTTCTTGTACCACCAAACCTTTGAGTTATTGCATTGTTTAGTTTTCAGTTATTCCCTTAATACGTTCACTTATTAAATTCTTTACTTTTGGCCTGTTAGTGTTTATTTTTCATTATTTTTAGTTTTTGGCCTGTTTGTGTTTATTTTTCATTTTTTTTTTTAGTTTGTGGCCCCTTTGTGTTTTTTTCCCCATTTATTTTCGTCATATAATGGATCTTCTTAGAATATGGGATTTGCCGTCTTCAGAAGAACAGGCAATTCAATATTTTCAAAATGTTGGGATACTTGCAGACGTGAAATTGTGTGAACAAGGTGATCGAATGAAGTAAACCAGGAACGCCAAATAGAGATGCTCTTGTAGGACTTGTGACACAAAACTTTCAATAAGGAAAGGAACATGGTTGGAGGAGTCGAGGATGTCATTTTCAACAGCTTTAAAATTGATTTATGGGTGGTCCCATAACTTAACAACAATATGATCCAAAATAAATAAGACAAAGTGAAAATAAATTGTACATATGTTGTTTATAGTATTGTTTATATGTTCTTCAAGTGTTTTTTTTTATTATTTCATTAATATATGTGTCGTAAAATAAAAGTATTTGTTTTGTTATTACATTTGTTTTTGTATCTGTTTACACTTTCAATAATACAAAGATAGGAAGTAGGAGAAGGCTTATCACTGTGTTATCGGAATTATCAGTGTTCAGGTTATAAACATTGACAGATAACAGTCAGTGGCGGCCTGCTAGTCAAAAAGTACCGTACTTTTTTAATGACCAAAACACAGTACATCGATATCAAAATGACACACAACGTTTCGTATCTTATAAATAGTAACACCAAGTGCACAATGTTTTGATTTCACAGAGAGAAAATTCATCAAATTAATTGGTGATAGACTTCCATAAAATGTTATTGAATTTTTGCAATAATCACATGACTTGTTAATTTTTTTTTTAAGCCTAAAATACAATTTAATTTATATTTAAATATCTTCAGGATCATTGAGTACAGTAAAATTAAATATAAAGTTGATCAATAAATTTGATTTGACTTATAAATAATTAAAAATAAATTACTATCAATAAAATTAAGAGGCATATTTTATCTGCAAACGAATCATCATATAAATCAAAATACAGAGTAACAATAATGTTAGAGTAGAGTATGTATTCTAGAGTAATATTAGTATTTAAGAATACCTACCATTTTTAAAAATTATGAGAAAAAAAAATATGTTGAATAAAGTATACAGAATAAAATAAAAAGTCTCGGTTATACCAAAATTGAAACCTATAAGTACTTCAATATCTGCCTCGTATGTACATTTATGTTAAATTCATTTTGACAATAATATGTAAAATATAAACATAACCCAACCTGATCATTCTGGTAAGTCTTTGTCTGGAACAACTGCTTAGTTCTCTGGATATACAAGAGAATTGAGCTGAAGGTCCTAATGGCATCAGAGTATCTTCTCATCATCATGTAAGCAAAACCAACATAATAAGAAGTAGATATCTGGCAAGCCGGCACGTGAGAATACTGACTCTAAAAATAAAATAATAAAAATGAAAACTGGAACTTGGACATGAAAAAAGAGAACATACATGCTTTATTTGGATACAGAATAAATTTGCACGGATAAGTAATTTAACAACTGAAAAATAAAAAGGTTTAATATAAATAAAATATAAGTTCAGATATTTATAAGAGTTAATAGACAAAAGGAGATCAGAAAAACAGGTGAGATTTCACTAAATAGAATATTTCACTTAAGGTTAAAGCATCGAAATAAGACAAAATAAAATTAATGGAGCAAAAGAATAAAAAAAGATAACGGCTCCATTCAAGAACTTGGTAAATTATATATAACTAACATTTATTAGTCAATCAATAAACTCAAGAAAAAAAAATACCTTACCTTCTTATGAATTTCAATATTTTCAAGTACTTTAATAGCTTGATAATAATCTCCAAGTTGAGAATGCAACCTTAACAAGCCTACAAGACTGAAGTATCCCAACATTTTATACAGAGAATGACGGCCGAATTTCCCAGCCACTGAGTCTGGGTCTCCTCCGCTGGCATAAACCTATAATTAACGATTTAATTAAACCAAATATAAATTAACCAATATCTGATTTTTCAGAACATACCAATGTGGTAATTTAATACTAAAGTGAGTAAATCTTAATTGTAAGGAAACATTAATTTTGGTAAAAAAAATAATATATAATAAATTTAAAAAGGTTATGGTTATGTAAAATAACTTTTCCTCCCAAGAAAATTAGAAAATTTATTTGTTATCACTGTAAATAAAAAGATAAAATACAAATTTAATGTGGTATAAGCAAGTTTTAGAACATTTTTGTTAAAACTGAGGTTATATTGTGTAAAAACTTGACAAATTCATTACTACAAGTGTTGTCCATCGCTTTTCATAACTTTCTCATATCTTTCTGGCAACATACAAATTGCACATTATACCAACAGGTCTTTAGAGATAATCCAATTCTTACATGGTACGAATTGTTACATTTTCTAACGTTTGTGGTCTTTTTTTATATTATTTATTTCCTTCCACAACATTTAAAACAAGCACTCAAAAGAAAAAATTGATGAAGCAAGGTCCCAGCCTCACAATCTCTTTAAAACTAACTTTACCTCAAATGAAATAGATAATGAAAAAAAAAAATTAATTTAAAAAAACCCAAATACCGAAATTGAGAAATTATATCCACCCTAACAGAATGTACTTCTATATCTATTGAAACATTTTGGTAGATTGATAGGGAAATTGACAACTACGAATATCTCAACTTGGTGCAGTAAATAGGATTCCTATCACACTTCAAGACTCTTTCGGATATTGACAAGCACCAATACATACAGCCTAGAGCTGTAATGTGTAGTGATAGGCACCCGACTATTACACCAAGTTTAAATATTCGTAGATGTCAATTTCTCTATCAATCTACCAAAATGTTTCAATAGATATGGAAGTACATTTTCTCATAGTGGATGAACTTCCCCAATTTCTATAGTCTGTTTTTTTTTTTTAAATTTAATTCAAATATTTTTTTATTTTTTTTAAATATTAACAATTCATTTTCATAACATATGACCACGTGATATCATTTCAAATCAATTAATAAGTGAGACATTTAAACTATAATACAGTTATTTTTCAGTATTTTAAGCTCAAATTGTTTCAAAACATTCATGGGCTCTAACTGAGTAATTACAGCCGTCAAAGTTAAAAATCGATCATGTCATACAGTAAAAAAATAAATCGTTACATCCTTTTCAGCGGCTTAACATTTTACCCCAGTAATTTGACAGAGTTTTGAGCTCAAATTATTTCAAAACACTCACGGAATCACAACGAATAATTTGAGCCATCTAAATTAATAATCAATCAAGCCGTTCACTCAAAACAGAATTACATACCTTTTAGTGGGCCCCCAAAACACATTACCCTCGTGCTGGTTCACTTTCTAAACACTCACGGGACCTCTCTGAATAATATAATATATCAAACTTAAAAATCGATCCAGAGGTTCACTCAAAACAGCATTAGTAAATTGATAAAATACAGTTTATTTAATAACGGATCAGTATTTTTAGCTAGAATTGTTTCAAAACACTCAGGGGATCTCACAGAATAATTTGAGCCATCATACTTAAAAAACAATCCAGGGGTTAACCTAAAAAAAACCTTACATAGCTTTTAGCAGGCTTTTGTTGCTATTATAAGGAATAGTTAGCTGAGGGAGGGGAGAGTCTAATGTCATAAAAATTTATATTTTAAACTAACTCAGAAGGACAACAAAAAATTTATACAATAAATATTTGGAGTTAGATACTTAGAACTTATTAAGACAGTATTATGTCATAATACAATTGATTTTTAAAAACTCTTTGAAAATGATTAAGGTAATTTTTATCAGTACAAATAACAAAATTGAGAGTGGCTCTTACTTCTAATTGTTTCTTTATGTTTGATTTATCCACCAGTGAATGGAGAACATTTAAAACACAGAGTACATTCCATACTTTATTATTTTCATTCAGTCGTAATAGTTCATTTGGGTCTTTCTTTTGTAATCTGCCTCTGTAAAACATATATATCAAATGTAAATTTTAAAGGTTTTATAAAATAAAATAAAAAGAATTACATCACTAGAATACATTACCTATATTGAGAGAAACACTGAAACTGATAGACAAATTCATCCACGAGCTCCCATAACCACTGATCAGGTAATTCTAAATCCACTGGTTTATTTTCACCTATAATAAAAAAAAATAAAAAATGAAAAAGAATTTCAGAAGAAATATTATAATAGTCCCCAAAAGAAATGTACAATGTTATATACTTACTTAAAATATAGTTCAATAAATCGCAGTAATTGAAAAACGAATTGAATCTTTGGTCAAGAGTCAAAGAACTCTGCATCCTTGCGTACAAATGCCTGTAGTACAGTTCTTTATAAAGTATGAGGAAAACCTAAAACATATGGATGATGTAATTTTCACTTGATTTTCTGAAATACCCTTTTAAGATAAATCTTACAAATAACATAGAACAATCATGAAGCTATCCAGACAATTTTTTTTTCTGAAAAGGTTGCGATGCATACACTTTGCTTACAAATAGTTAACTTTTGAGTTTAGGATCCACTGGTATAAATATCATGTAGGAGCACTGTAGAGCAGCATATAATAACCTGCACCATTACAACCCATAAAGGGTCATGAGTTCACTACTTAGTAGGGAAGTGTTGGTCAATGGTTGTGCAAGGAGGTGATTTGACTGAGATCACGCTCAACCGCCAGGTTTTTCCTCTTAATTAAGTATTTAATTAAGAGCCCACTTTATAGAGGCTGGGTGTGCTCCAAGAGAGTTTTCTGAACCAATCCATGGCTGACGAAACAGAATAAATAATTTATCTGCCATCAGCCAGATTAGAACCTTGGACCTTGAGCATTGAAAGTCAGCGCTCTACCACTGAGTTACCCTATTCCATTTAATAAGATCATTGTAAAATATAACACAAAAAATTGATATAAAACAAAACTCAAATAAAGAATTTAAATAAACATACAGGATCACTTTCAACAAATCTAGCAACAGCACTTTCATCAGGCCAGGGCCTATTTTCAAAATGTTTTTCAGTCATTTTTGGGAAACTGAAAAAAAAAAAAATGTATTACCATTAATAAAATGAAAAAAAATATATATAACAGATTTAATGAAATACTTACATATTTTCATAATAATTCTGGATTTCAAATATCATTCCCTTACGAATAGCATCCCTGAAGTATGTGAGAAATTCTTTAACTCCTTCAGGAACTCGGTCAAATTGACGATCATAGTTTTCTGCAGGTACCTCTACTGGATCATAGTCATAACCACCTCCTGGGTATGAATCATATCCACCCTAATAGTAGAAATAAATAATTAGAATTGAAAAAACAAAAAAAAATAAGCTTGTACCTATAAGGTCTATAACTGTAATTGTATTTAAATAATAGCTACATTTATAAATTGTAATAATCAAAGAAATTATGGTACATAATCAGTAGTTATTACTTATAAACAATGAACACAATTTCTTCATGAAAATAAAAGTATTGCAATGGAGAGAATGTACAACAAGCATGATATGAGTTTCTACTTATATGTAACAGTTTTTCCACATTATATATATTGTCCTTATAAACCCAAAAAACATACTACATCATTCCCCTACATTTTTACTTTTCTTTGATATGCAATACTATTCAGTTACCACACTTTATTTCTAAGCAATATCATAGGTAAAACTTATAAAAAAATAAAGCGTGTCTGGAAAAACTGTTATTATCATGAGAAAATTGATAGTGTTTCAGTCCCTTTTAACAATAAGAAATTTGTGACATTTAAAAATGACATTTAAGGCTTGAGATAGAAAGATCATACATAGAAAAGAAAAATAAATAACCATCCTTTAGTAATAGCAGGAAAATGTTTTAATCCAATATTTAGAGCAGTAGTTTTTGAGTCAAGATAAACTTTTTGAACAATAACGGGGTGAGTCACCAATACAAATTAAGTGATAATACTAGTTTGTAGAAATCTCTTTAGGAAGTAGATATTGTTCTTATGTATGCAAATATGAGAAAAAAAATCCAATTATCTAGAAAATGCTACATTGAACAAAAATGGCCAAGAGCATTGGGACAGAATATTTACGTGTCTACAATATTTATTTGTATTTCAACACAAAGCCAATAAGTTATAAAGTAATAATCACTTAATTGGATTATCATAAAGAAATATGTATTTTAACACCAAATCTGTCAATTTCACTATGTATATCTCTAGATTCAATAATCAAGATATCTGAGAATTTGTTTTTCACAAATCAATTGATAAATATCCATAATATAATTTGAAGTTTATTTATCTTGATCAAGTCATACATAAGTCTAGAATCAAAAGTTCTTAGTTCAATATAATATGAAACTAAAATACCTTATGTGATACTTTAGTTTAGAAATAAATACACAGTCAAATTTAATGAAAAGTGAAAAGAGAAAATATAGGTGATTTTTGTTCCATCTGTAAAGATCCTAACTTCTTATTCTTGTTGTTTTACTTACTTCAAAATCATCATACATCATCTTGGCAGATTATTAATTTACACTACTTAATATTCACAGAAACTAAAATGAAAAATATTAAGTGATCCAGTACAACACAACACCACATGCAATGGAAAGGTGGAAGCTTTGAAAGAGCAGGTTCAGCATCTATCACAATCAGCCTAGTTCCCTAACATATCGCCAGAGTGCTCTGTTAATTTAAAATCTAACTTACCTTTTTTGCCATATAAGTGTTTTCTGATATTTTATCGGTTTGAAATTTGTATTACTAATTTGGAGAATTCCAAATATGAATTTGTAAAAATTATTTTTAGTTCAGAACCCGGGCTTTCATGAAGCCCAACCACTCATAGTTGTTTTAGTGAATTTCAATCTCCAAGTTGTTTCAAATGACTTCAATATTTGATGTCTCAGAATTTTTTTTTTTGAAATGACAGTCAATATCTTATCAGATTCGTAAATGAAAATTAACAGATGGCATTGAAAATTCTGTAGTATCCATTTTAATTGACAAAGATTTTCATCTTTAAAATATCTTTTGGATTCTGAAAAGCTCCAAATGAAATACATAATTTGAATCTGTCTGTCGTTTTGTTTTCAGTTCTCAAATGAACTGGTTACTTAACAAACAAAAACAAAACAAAGCTGAGAGTTAAAAAAAATCTGAATTTTTAATAATATAATTTATTATGATGTAGAGATGGTTGACCGTTGATATAATATGAGAAGGAGTTAATTGGGGGGTGCGGTCAAATAAATACTAAATTAAAATATAGACCCACTTTGCAGGTCGTCTTCAGGGCTACAAAAGATACAAAATATGTTGAAAATAAAAAATAAATATAAATAGATATAAAATAAGAAGAAGTTGTCAGGTACAGAAATAAAAAGATGATATCAGAGATGTAGTGGGTTACAATTTAGTTAAAATAATAAGTATTATATATGTAGAAGATACAAACAAATTGAAAATAAGTATGAATAAATTTTATTTTTATTTTATTCATACTTATTTTATTTTTATTATTATTCATACTTATTTATTTTATTTTTATTTTTATTTACCTTACATTTATTTTACCTTTATTTTTATTTTTATTAATACTTATTTTCAATTTGTTTGTATCTTCTACATATACAATACTTATTATTTTAACTACATTGTAACCCACTACATCTCTGATATCATCTTTTTATTTCTGTATCTGACTTCTTCTTATTTTATATCTATTTATATTTATTTTTTATTTTCAACATATTTTGTATCTTTTGTAGCCCTGAAGAGGACCTGCAAAATGGGTCGAAACGTCGGCAAAAATTAAATAAATACTATATTTTAATTTAGTATTTATTTGACCGCACCCCCCAATTAACTCCTTCTCATAATATAATTTATTACATAAAAAATATAATTTTGGATGAATGCTCTACAGTTACTTACCATGCTCTTGTAATCAACCATTTAAAAAAAATAACCAAAAATTAAGAAAATCATGAAGTGTTTGGCAACTTGCATCTTTTATATTTACTATGTGGCTTTATATATGTAGGTAAATTCCACTAAAGTAACAAACTGAGGAGTATCTGGTAATTTTTATTATTAATGACAGACTTTGGAGCCTCTGTGATCCATAGTACATGACCTAGATAACCAACTTACTCATTAGCTCTTATCCATCTCAATTTTTGTTTTTCCAGCCTTATATTTTGAAAATGTACAGAAAACAATACAATTTGTCTGTTTTCTAATAAATCTGTTTCAGAATGTAATTCTGTTAATTCTGAACATTCTGTTCAGAATGTTAATAAATTTAATTCTGTCGACAAGTTGATTATCATTTCGCTTTTGGACCTAATGTCCATCTAACTGTTTCTTTTTACCAGCCATGCAGAATAAATGGAGAAATTATTCTTTATGTAACATGAATACTAAAAGAGTTTAGAATAGCCTTTTTAGGCAAACAACAACGAAATCTCATTGAAACTATAAAAACGTTAAATGGCCCGAACTTTATTTAAGAAATCTTGAAGAAATCTTTATTTGTATTAAAAAAAACAAACTCTAATTATAAATGTCAATTAGTGAGGGAATTTAATTTAGAATAAAATAGATTTATGTATATTTTCATGTATGTTTGTGTACTAGGTGTATGTGTATTTATATTTATATATCTAGAAAGACTTTTTAGTTAAATTTTAAGTTTGCTTTCATGTTAATTATGTAAATAATATTAAAATTAGGACTTTCTTATATTGAAATTGTTAATTTTTAAAAGATAAGATATAAATTAGGCGAACAACACCACAGACAAATATAATTTCATTGTCGATAATTCATTTAATCATATTTAAAAAAATGTTTTATATATTTTATAAACAAATAAAGGTTTCTATCTATCTATGTCTATTCTACCTATCTATCTAGAAGAATTTTAATTTCCTGGTGAAGATAAACTTTAATTGGAGGATGAAGAAAACCAATTGCATCAAAAATCAGGAGTTGCTCTAGGGCTTTATGGAGTTCAAGGTGAGAAAGATATATGTACTCCCTAATCTTACCAACTGCTACTCTCCTCCAACCCTAAACCAAACTAAGATCACTCTTGCCATTTTTACTATTTGTTTAATCAATAAACCATATACAAAATTAGCTGATTAGAGACTGTTTAAAAAAAAAAAATCTGGTGCACGCAACGCACAACTTTCACTTACCGCTCTGCTTTAAATAGAAATTATTTTCTGACAATGTTGGGCTATCATAAAATTTTTATAGTGCAATTTTAATAGAGCTACAGCTTAAAGCTGACAAATCATTAAAATAACAAAAACCCTATTAATTATATCAACGGTAGGCAATGAAAACTTCGTTATTCCATCAGTTTTTGTAAACCACACAGCCCCAGTCTCTGAGATATATATGCTAAGAGAGATTTGAAAGTATATCACTATATTCTATCTATATATGATTAATGGATTTTACATCTACTGGTTATTAAACTGTAGGGAGCATTATTTTCCATTGTAAAGTTTACTAAAATGAAATTACAATATTTTCATTACCAGCCATAGATAGATCAAAAGTTGTGACACTAATTTTAATTGTATAATGTTTGGATTTCACAAAGGAAAAATTCAACAATAATTCACTAATTTAATAAGGGTTACATGACAATTTTTCGGAGTAGACGTATGTTTGTACTTAATTAATTAAATATAACATCAGATCTAGAATCATTAAACTACGGTAAATGTATTTAAGGATATAAACATTCTGAATGTTGTGGGTTTGATTTCCTCCTGGGTCGGTTAATTTTCATTTCTCAGCAGTTCTAGCAAATGGATCTTGACATTCCCACTCTGGTAAGTATGTGGTAGCAATCTCAAGGTAGCCGTCAGGTTACCTTAGCCGTCACGTTAGTTCAATTGATTTAATGTCAAAATTTTAAACAATCTAATCTATGAATCATGATTCACAAGGTACTCAAAGGAATGAAGGAAAATCATTAGGATCAATCGATAATGAAATGAGGAAATACTGTTTTATATTTTACTGGCTTTTAAATTACAATTATAAAACATACAAACATCAACAGTGTTATATCACAGTTATGAATTAAAATATTTACTATCCACACAGTGAAACAAGTGCTTATAAAAATCATATACCTCTATCTAAAGGAGGAAGACATTTTTATTAGCAGTACTTTAGTACGAGATTCCTGCTGTAGGACACTAAAGGAAATCTAAAATCCGGAAATCTAAAGGAATCACTATATCTTTGAAAACTGTCTTATTATTTATTAGTAATTAATAAAACTAACTCAATATGTAGCTAAAGGGAGCATTATAAATGTTAAACTCCTTTGTAAAAATTATTATCCTTCCATGGTATATACACATTCAATTTCATTGAGAGGACAATTACAACCAAATCACCGCAGTATATTTCAATGACTAAGTGAACCATGAAAGGAGTTTGTCTACTTAGAGAATATACATTCATTTTCTACTGATAGCTACATGATAATCACAATAATTCTAACGATGGGTTCACTATATGAGATATCTTTATTGTAAACAAAGTATTTTTGATACCATTGATTTAAAAAATATACATAACATTGATAGACAAAAAATATTTTTGTATAGCTCATTTTCTGAGTAAAATGTGTTATATTATTTCAACAGTCTCAATTAGATATAAAAAGGCTGTATTCGGCTTCATTATTCTGGTTAGCAATAAGATTTCCTCTTAAGGCTTAAAGTAAATATTTTTATTATGGTTGTTTCATAAAAAAAAAAAAAAAAAAAAACTGTATTCATAATATATATGTGGATTACTGTGGTCTCTTATCCGAGACCAGCCATATGAATATATAATTACGACATATTTTTGAGATAAATCCATGATCTTAGTTATTGAAATTATTTCATTTTCTGGAATTACAGAAATCCGGAATTAAGGTTTATGGGAGAAGTTACTGCTACATAATTATTGAAATAAATAACTAGGTAACATAAAGAATAAATCTACTTTATATCAATCTTTACAGCCCAATATTTATTAATTGATAGGCAGCCAGCTAATATATGTAAAGGTGGAAAACAATACAACTTTTACCTAAATGTTTTGTACATAGGTTGATGTTAGGACTACTAGTCTTTCAAACTTTGGCCCAACTCAATAAATTATTATAATATACTCAGAAACAATAACATATCTTAAACGTATCTTACACAGCTGTACAATAAATGTAAAGAATTTTACAGTATAAATCTGACAAATAAAGATCATAATTGCCTTACTACAGACATCAAATTTACTAACAAAAAGCTTGATTACTAATAAATTGTTTTTTGTGAAAATAATTTACCTAATGCCAATTAATATTGCAAAACTTAAAAACTCAATCTTTAGGCCAAATAAAATAATAATTGGTGGTCATTTTTAAATATATTTATAAAATATAATGAAATGGACGTAATCTGAAATATTACAAAAAATATTTACCAAGGCGATACCCAATTTTCAGTTTTTTTTCAAAGAAAATATTGCCAATGATCGATATACTTATATTTTTATATAAAATATTTCTGTGTTTGAAGTTTCTAATGATTTATATTTACAGGTTGACAATTTAACAAAAAACAAGTTTTTATTATACAAAAAATATACAAATTCAAGTTATGATGTAATATAAAATCTTTCAATAAAGAAACAAAATCAAAAGGTATGCTGGTTGGTTGTTCCAGTAAACTTTTACAAACTTCGTAAAGAGCTTAAATAAAATATGTATTAATATTATTATTTTCTTTATCGGGTATTTGGAATGTGAATTTGATTATTAAATAAAATTACAAAATAATTTTAAAACATGAGGTTTTTAATTATTGAGGCTGTATTTCAATGGCTAATTACAAAAACCTTGTAAGTAAATTCATTTCCTAT